CCAGTCCCCGCTGAGCCCTTCTTTTCCTCTTTCCAATAAAAAGTACTAGTGTGCTTTTTTTTATCTGTGCTAAACTTCAAGAGCAGAATCATCCCTAAATTGATAAGAACAGGTAGGGCGCTGCCCTTGGGGCTGGGGCTGATAGAGAGCAGGGCTTTCCGGGGGACAGCAGGGAGGGGAGCTGAAAGCAGGACCCCCCCTGCGGGGGGATGGGGGGCTGCAAAAGCTTTCTACTCTGTATTCTCGCCTGAAGGCCTGAAACCACACTCAACCCAAATCTGTGGAAATGAGGAGCCACTGGCTACCCTGTGGGGAAGGGGTGGGAGGTGAGAGGAAGGAGGAGATGGGGGGGTGGGCGGAAGCGGGGGTAGGAGAAGATGTGAGAGAGGAGATGGGAGTCCTGAGGGAAGAGTTGGGTGAAGGGAAAAAGGGGGGGAGGGGAGACGAGGATAGAAGGGGGCGTTGAAGACGGGAAGAGGAGGAGGAGGAAGAGGTGAGGGGTGGAGGTGACAGATGTGGGGGGGCTGGAAGAGGGCAAGGCAGTAGGAAGAGGGGTAGGGACAGAGGCGGGAGGGGGAAAAGTAAAGGAAGTAGGTGGCAGAAGTGAGGGGGAGGAGGGAAGAGGTGGTGGGAGGGTGCAGAGGCGGAGGAAGGAAGACATGGCTGTAGGAGGGGATGAGAAGCAGGAAGTGAGGGAGGAGGAGATGCGAGAGGGAAGAAGTGAGGGAAAGAGGAGATATGGGGTGAGGAAGAGGGGGAGACAGGAAGAAGGAGTAAGAAGAGGGGGAGGGGGAGGAGGAAGGGGTGGGAAGAAGTGAGGGAAGGAGAGGAGAGGCAGGGAGAGGGGGGAAAGGAGCCGGGGGAGGGGCCGGCGTGGGGGAGGGGAGGGGTGTTGGAAGGAGTGGGGAGGGTGAGGAGGTGGGAGAGAAGGAGGGGGGTGCGAGAGGGAGAAGTGAGGGAAAGAAGAGGTGGGAGACGCAGAAGTGGAGGAAGGAGGCGAGGGGGGGCAGGGCGGTAGAAGAAGGGGTGAGGAAGTAAGAGGTGGGGGCGGGGCGGAGGCGGTGGAAGGAAGGGGGGCAGCGGAGCGGGGCAAGGGCGCAGGACCGCTCGGCGGCTGGAGGATGGGGCGCGGACTGGAGGCAGTGCTCCCGGGAGCCGAGGCGCCCCGGAAAATCCCGGAGCGCTGCGCAAGTTCTCCAGTTTCTCGAAAGCCCGAGGGGAGTTGGGGGGGGGGGCGGCCGGCGAGGCGCGCTGGCACCGCCGAGCTCTCCGGCGACAGCGAAACCCCCCAGCCCGACACGGCCCCCCGGCCCCGCCCAGCGCGACGCCCCCTGGGGCAGGGGTGGCCGGGGCGGGCGGCCGCGCGCCTCCGGGAACTCCGCTCCGTCAGACTTCCGGGAGAGGGGCGGCTTTTCTGCTCAAAATCCACCAGACTCCTCCGACGCGCTTTGCTTTCACAGTGGAAAACTACAATAGCAATTAAAAAAGCACACACAGCCATGAAAATAAGTGAAATTAGAACCTGCCGACTTCACTTCCTGGAGGCTTTTTGTTGGGTCTTGAAACTAGGAATCTTTGCGAGTCATCCTCGTAAGTGCCTTTTTTATCCGTTCACACTGATGCTCGGGCGGGCGTCTACACTACGTTTAACATCGTTAGCCTGGTGACGTTTTGACATTGTATTAACTTGATTTAATGATGGTTTCTGCCTTGGTTCACGTGGCCTCGCTTGATAACCTGAAATAAATGCTTACGCGTTGCAAAAATAAAGGCACCGAGGGAGAGTTCTCTTTTTAACCCTGCTGTAAAATAGATCAGAAAATATCCCCTAAGGCGATGCGAGTATTGAAAAGAGTCGAGTATTAGGTAGACCTGGGAAATAAATGTTAGAAACAACAGAAACTCATTGGCTTGTTCATAGCCATTTGGAAATTAACATGGTAAAATCATCAAATAATACTAGGGAGGGGAAAACTCAGTTCTGGTCAAGTTGGCTGAATTGGAACCTAAGTCCTGCGTGGTAAATCACTCATTATTACGTCTTTGTGTGGGGGAAGCAGCCTCAGTGCTCCGGTGCCGAGAAGTTCTACTTCGGAAATCTCCGAGGGCAGTTATTACGAAGCCGATGCGGGTGGGGTTCTCACTGAAACTGAAGGCTCTTCTCCCCCAGAGATTTTACTCCATTTTCCTTTAAAATGAGCTGAAAAGCCAGGGGATCATAAATTTTAAATTGGCTAATGCCAGTTAATGGTCACTCCCAAACTGAAATGAGAAGGTTAATCATCACTAGATGGTGAGTTAATAAGGTCCAATTCAATGTACAAAAATTTGGCTTTCGGGCCACATCTGATACACCGTATAAAATCTAAAGATGGAGGCAATGCAGGTTTTATCAAATCAAACCAACAGTACTGATAGGATATAGCTTCTTGTAAGCTCAATGTGGGGACATTTTACGAGAAATAATATCTCAGTGACTGTGTGAAGCTTATCTCCCTGTGATTTGTATACTCTAGACCTGAGACTGCAGGCTGGAGCTCCATGGGCCTCCATGTTTTCCAGACCTGTGTGTGTGTTTTTCCGGGTGTATTTTAAACCTTTGAATTAGTTATCTATATTTTAAAACCAGCATATTTCCACTTGCAAAGCTGGACTTTTGGCTTTTCTTTGAAATATGACACCTGGCTGGCCGGGGGGGGGGGGGGGGGGGGGGGGGGGGGGGGGGGGGGGGGGGGGGGGGGGGGGGGGGGGGGGGTGGTATTTGTTGGCTGGAGCCCAGTTGGCTGGAGCCCAGCAGTTCCTAAGGTAGGACAGTCTGCATCTCTCACCTTATCCACTCCTCCCCACCCCGCCTTCATTCCTCAGGTGCTTGTCTGCCCTGTGCACCCGAGTGTTCTAGTTCTGCCCCCGACAAACCACTTTACCCCGTGCTCATCTTTTTATTAGGATTATTAAACTCATAGGTGATTTAGACATGCTAGGTCTATACCTAATGCTTGGATCGTTAAAACCACAAAGCTTGATTTTCAGAAATTGATCTTGACAGATTCAGCGAGTCGATCCCATCACCAGCCTGTCATCCAGCATTTGCACGTCTCATTGCTGGGCCTCCTATCTGTTACGTCTGCACTGTAAGTGGCCACTTAACCTTGCACTGCGCAGGTGTTCTTTAGGTATTTGTGGGATTTAATTTTCTTTGACAAATCTATCTTCTGTCACTTGGTTGATGTTCATTCAGCCATCAAATGGTTGAGCCAGGAACTGTCGCAGAAGCTGGGGATGTGACCATGCACAAAATGTAAAAATCCCTGCCCACGTGGGGAAGAGAGGCCATGCAAACAACCTGTTTGGACTTCTGTATTTGATTGCTGTCTCCATACCCTGAAATGTGCTGCAGGCTTGTTTGTTGTGACTCCTACCGTAGTTCCCTGCCAGATGGACTTCTTTCCCAGCGCTGGTCTACACCAGTCCTGGCCTGTGGCAGTTTTCTCTGTGCCAGACAGAATCTCTGTTAGCCGACTGCATTTTGAATCAAAGCGTCTGCATCTCCTCTAGGCTTTAACCAGGACCAGTCATTTGTTTCCAAATGCCAGAAATGTCTACACTAGGTTATATATACATTTTTTTAATGTGTATTTTTGAGAGAGAGATGCAGGCTCTGCACTGACCGCAGGGAACCTGATTCAGGGCTCGAACTCACAACTGTGCGAACATGTGCAATCGGTTAATTTTTTTTAAATGCAGCTTGTGTATCCTCTTCTCACAGAATATTAAGGGAACACTTGATAAACCTAAGTGACTCCGCAGTCTCTCATTTGTTTTGTTCTTTTGCAATATTGCCTTTCTTTGGAAGCATTGCTGCTATTACATCAAATATAAAAATAACTACTTTGCATGCATATTCCATAACTTACTTTGAGCAGTACTTTTAATAATTTATCAGTAAAAGACAATTTTACCTTTATTTTTTTAATTTAATTTTTTTATGTTTATTTTTAAGACAGAGAGAGTGAGCAGGGGAGGGGCAGAGAGAGGGGGGACAGAGGATCCAAATTGGGCTCTGTGCTGGTGACAGCAGACAGCCCAATGCAGGGCTTGAACCCACAAACTCTGAGGTCATAACCTGAGCCAAAGTTGGACGCTTAACCAACTGAGCCTCCTAGGTGCCCCAAGATCATCTTACCTTTCTGCGTGTGATTTGGGGTGACGTATGTTTTGCCGCATTCTTCTTAAGCTCTTTTTATTTTTAAATACAAGTCCAGTTTTATTCATAAAAATGAGAGAGGATTTCAGGGTTTTTTTTTTAATGTTTTATTTATTTCTAGGAGAGAGAGACAGTGTGAACAGGGGAGGGTCAGAGAGAGAGGGAGTCACAGACTCTGAAACAGGCTCCAGGCTCTGAGCTGGCAGTCAGCACAGATCCCGACGTGGGGCTCTAACCCACGAACCGCTAGATCATGACCTAAGCGAAAGTCGGACACTTAACCGACTAAGCTACCCAGGCGCCCCGGATTTCAGTTTTTCTAAATACTCTACAAAGTGAGTTACATCTGAAAATTCAGGTAAAGAAGTCTAATTTTATTTTTTTGTTAAAAATTCTTTAATGTTTATTCATTTTTGAGAGACAGAAACAGAGCACGAGCGGAGGAGGGGAAGAGAGACAGGGAGACAGAATCTGAAGCAGGCCCCAGGCTCTGAGCTAACAGCACAGAGCCCAGTGTGAGGCTTGAACCTGCAAACCTTGAAGTCATAACCTGAGCTGAAGTCGTACGCTTAACTGACTGAGCCACCCAGGTGCCCCAAAAAGTGTAATTTTAACTTCTTCTCTAAAGACGCAACTTTTTGTGAAAATGCCCCTCAAATATCTTATTTCTTTTTATTTTTTTATTTTTTATTTATTTCTAGGAGAGAGAGAGAGAGACAGCGTGAGCAAGGGAGGGTCAGAGAGAGAGGGAGATACAGACTCTGAAATTGGCTCCAGGCTCTGAGCTGGCAGTCAGCACAGAGCCCGACGCGGGGCTCGAACCCACAAATGGTGAGATCATGACCCAAGCGAAAGTTGGACGCTTAACCGACTAAACCACCCAGGCGCCCCTCAAATATCTTATTTCTGTCTCTTCACGTGGGTATATTTATATATTTGACCTCTCTGTCTGTTCCGGTCTTTGGCTCTTTGCATGTCTTTTATCATCTTCCAAGTCTATATGATTTCCTGTTGAGAAATATGAACTGGGTTAATGGAAATTCTTTGAGAAACACATTCAAACACCAAGTATTTCACTTTTTGCAGTGAGTACAAGATAAGCAATTTATTATTTTATTTTATTTTTTAACGGTTTATTTTTTAGAGAGAGAGAGCGCGCCAACGGGGCAGGGGCAGAGAAGAGGGATCCAAAGTGGGTTCTGCACTGACAGTCGCAAGCCCAATGTGGGACTTGAGTTTGCAAACTGTGAGATCATGACCTGAGCTGAAGTTGCACGCTCAACTGACTGAGCCACCCTGGTGGCCCCAAGATAAGCAATTTATTGTGGACATAGCATTAATCTTTAGTCACACAACTAGTGAATACACAGGTAGTTTTAAAGCGCCATGAATGGCCAAGGCTCACTCTAAAAAGCACTCGGGTTGCTGTGCTTAGCACAAATTCAAACTGCTACATTTTAATTTGAGAGTCTGCGCATGTGCACCATGGAAAGTGGTCAGTACTAGATGGAACTACCCATCAGAGCACGTGGAGTTGTAAAAACCATAAGATCTGACTGCTCTGATCTAATGAGAATGCAGACATCACGATATTCACATACAGTCACACAGTCCAACCAGAGCCCAAGGTTTACTTAGAGAACCGGAAAGAAAAGAGATTAGGCGCTGCATTCCTTTCTGTTTCTTCCAGCCCCCCCAAGGGGAGAAGATTGAGAGGGCATGTGGGATAAGGGTGAAAAGTCTGAACCTGGATCTGGACAAGTCACAATAACAACTGTGAGAAATCTTACTTTTTTTTTTTAATTTTCTTTAACGTTTATTCAGTTTTGAGACAGAGAAACAGAGTGCAAGCGGCGAAGGTGCAGAGAGGGAGACGCAGAATCCAAAGCAGTCTCCAGGCTCTGAGCTGTCAGCACAGAGCCCAACTTGGGGCTTGGACTCACAAACCACGAGATCATGACCTGAGCCGAAGTCAGAAGCTCAACTGACTGAGCCACCCAGGCGCCCCTCTACTTTTGTTTTAACTGGTGTTTCCCCTCACTCAACTGACATTTAGTGATTGGAACACCTGAACGCACACCAAAACTTGGGTGTCTTATTTTAGGCTAATGGTAGAGACAACAGAAGAGAGATGTGGGGCTCAGAGGGCATCAGGAAAGGGAACCAGACAGATGCAACTTCACATATAAAAAAAAAAAAAAAAAATAGTAGTGCCTCCCACTCGACATTTGGCTCGACTGCTCTGAATGCTGTTTTTTTTTTTTTTTTTAAATCATGCCTGGGCTTTCATTCCCTTTGATGACATTTTCATGGCCCCCACCCCCACCCCAGTACCGCTTCAGTAAAATCTTTGCCAGGCACACTGGGACTCCTGCCCTTCCCTTTAGTAATTAGTGATAAGATTTCTCCTGTAGTACAGATACATACCGATCTGTTCTCTCTCCTGCTTTTATGATCCTGTTTTAGAAACTGAGCTGTTAAAGGTTGTGTTTGAACATACTTTTTGAACACGAACTTTAATTAATGGGTCAAAAGGCTTAAGCTCATGCTTCTTAATAACTGAAACCAGTATCTATAATTTTTCCTATCTAAAATCTATTGAAATTCTTATCAGCCTAGCTTCTTTTACTTTCAACTTGTAAAGAAACTTTTCCTTAAAGCTCCCTTTTTTATACCCAGTAGGACCAACTCTTGTGATTATCATCAGCTAGAGGAAACCCACACGTCTCCCCCGAGCAACGTTAAGTGGCCATGTTGCAAAGGACCCCGGGGATTTTCTTCTTTGGTCATTGTCCCGGCCAAAGTCTTGAAAGACAGGTTTTCATTTCATTGCCATATTCGGTGGCTAAGAGTCTTCTGGTTACGTTACTAAACTTTGGACTATCTTAGAATTTAATTTGCTCAATTAAATGGCCGAAGAAACCCACAGATGACTACGTGTACTAAAATGTATGAAATCAATGACACGTGCCAGCCCTGGGAAGAGGAGCCACTTCTCCTGTGAGTCTGAGGGAATGTGTGTGAGTTGTCTTGTTTCTGTTTTGGAGTGCGAGGGCTGCTGGTGTGGGTGGATTTCCAGAACCCCCAGAAAACCTGATGGGGGAAAGTCGCAGCAGGCTCAGGGAGGCATCCTACAGCAGGCGGGGGAGGGAGCTAGAAAAAGATTGGATAGTTAAAGGAACTCGGGTTGTTTAGCCTGCAAAGGGTAAAGCAGGGACAGGAGAATTGTTGTGTCCTACCTCAAGTACAAATTCGGAGAAAACAGGGATGTCAGCCACGGCGGAATGGAAGAGGGCAGACTTAAAAAAAATTTTTTTTAATGTTTTTATTTTTGAGAGACAGAGAGTGAGCAGGAGAGGGTCAGAGAGACACACATACACACGCACAGAATCCGAAGCAGTTCAAGCTTAGAGCTGTCAGCGCAGAGCCTGACGCGGGGCCCAAACCCACAAACCGTGAGATCATGACCCAAGCCGAAGCTGGACGCTTAACCATCTGAGCCACAGAGGCTCCCTTAAAGGGCAGACTTTAAATTTAGAACCAATAATTTCCATGAGTTGATTAATGACCTGAAACTGGCCTAAAGTTGGTATCTCAGACTGCTGGCTGTGGCTTTTTGTTTTCTCTTAATTCTCTAACACTTTGGAGTACATGCATCTAGGTAAAGGGAGATTTCCAGATACTGGGAAAGTCAGCTTTCACCCAAACATAAAAAAAATTGTAAAATGTCAGGTAGGCTCAGAGGTGGGTCTTGCCACTTGGGTTGTTTTGCTCACAGTGGCACCAGTGGAATGGGGACGGGGGGTCGGTCATGAGGGTGCAAGCACATGCCATGAAATCACCTTCAAAAACTTGATACAGCATTTAAAATAAAATGTTTATTTGTTTATTTTGAGAGAGAGAAAGTGGGGGAGGAGCAGAGAGTGAAGGAGAGAGAGAATCCCAAGCAGACTCCGTGCTCAGCTCAGAGCCCGACATGGGGCTCCATCTCACAACCATGACCTGAGCCGAAATCAAGAGTCAGACGCTTAACCGACTGAGCCACCCAGGTGCCCCGAAACATCTTTCAAATGGACTTTTCTAGTCTAATAATAACCAACTATAGATTTATCGTGAGAGAACCTCTCTACAAACTTTATTGAATGTATTTTTATTTTCATTTTGTTGACTTGAGTAAAAATGAAATGATTTTCCTTCCTTAAGCTAGATGTTGACCATTTAGAAACACAGCCTCAGAGACTTCCAGAATGAGTAAATATCTCCTGCTGTGTGAATGGCCAGCCTTCAGACTGATTAAGAAGGTGTTCAGGCAGGTATTCTGAGTCACTGTGTGATTCCGGACATGCCCACTGACCTCTCTCCAGGCTTAAGTGAAGTTAATGTTTTTCCTCTCACCAACTCACAGTGGTGCTTTTGGGGATGGAAAAAATGAATGTGGCGAAGTCCAGTGCAGATTTTTTAAATGCCACAGGAAAAAGCACATAAAAAAAACAAAACAAAAAAAACACTTCTTTTTTGTGACATGTAGCTGCTGTGTGAAAGATACAGGGCACACAGTCTTCCTGGCTCTGGGACAAAGGTATCCATCCTTCTTTAACTCAAAATAAAAGGTAGAAAAACGCCATGGAAGGTTTTAAGAAAGGAAGCGAGTGTTCTTCAGACCTACGAGGCAAGTCATGTTCTTTTCTCATGTCTCTGGGAAAGAAAATGTGGTCAATATAAAGATGTTTTATTGCCGATTCTTACATAGAGACCTCAGTGTTCACATCTCAAAAACATGTCTTCAGATGCCAGTTTCACCTCCGAAAATGAGAACTGAGCTCGCCTAAAGGGGGGTTAGTGGTGTGATTAGAGGCATTGGGAGGGTGCCCAGGCTATGTCTTTCGTTCATTCTCAACTGTTGCTCCTTCCTTAAAACATACATATTCATGCCCCAGCATGGTGTTGTGCCAGGGCGGACACACATAGTCTGCTGGAAAGCCTTTCCCTACTAGCGGGCCACATGCACAAAATCATTTTACAGCACATGGCTGTCTGAATGGCCATCTTTCAAGCAGCATGCACGCTGAAGCACCCTCCACCACTTCATGGGGAAATGTAATCAGAAGCCAGGTTGGCGGAGAGCCTAATGAGATAAAGGCAAAGCCTTCGTTAAAGAGGCATTGTTTAAAATGTCAGCAAGCAGAGCACCTGGGTGGCTCAGTTGGTTGAGTGTCTGACTTCTGCTCAGGTCGTGATCTTAAGGTTTGTGAGTTCAAGCCCCGCGTCGGGGTCGCTGCTGTCAGCCTGTCTGTGCAGAGCCCGCTTTGGACCCTCTGTCCCCTTCTCTCTGCCTGTCCCCCTCCCCCAACTTGTGCTCTCCCAAAGATAAATAAAATGTCAACAAGGAAACAAGTATTTGGTTTTTTTCTTCATGGGAACACCATATTAGGTGCAACTCCACCAAGACAAGAAACTTAGATGTGGGCTTTGCCAAAGTTTGGCCCCCAAAAGGAGAGAACCTGACCAGCTAGCCTCTGGAGTGAACAAAAGACAGCAGCCAGCGTTTCTGAAGGAAGTAGCGGGGTGCAGGGGTGCCTTCCCGAGTCATCCACTGAAGTTCAAGGATGCCCCTGCAGACATGGAAATAAGCTTTGCAGTGGCTACCAGAAATGGATGGAAAAGTCTGAAAGGGTGTTTGGTTTTCTTTTTGGCTGGTTGATTGATTTTTTGGTCTCACCAAAAGTAGCCCCCAGCCCATAAAGTTTGGGAGACACAACTTCAGAAAGCATGAATTTCTGTTTCCATGTGAGGGTACCTTCCTTTTTTTTTTTAAATTTTTTTATGTCTTTATCATATTTTGAGAGACAGAGAGCAAGTGGGGGAGGGATAGAGAGAGAGAGAGAAAATTGGAAGCAGGCTCCAGGCTCAACCGTAAGCACAGAGCCCGGCGCAGGGCTCAAACTCACTGACTATGAGGTCATAACCTGAGCTGAAGTCGGACGCTTAACCAACTGGGCCACCCAGACGCCCCATGAGGGTACTTTTCTATTCCCATGGAAAGTTTGGAGAACCAGAAATTTAACTTGCTTATTTGTTAGTTCTCCTTTTTAACCACTTGCATTTCTTTTTTTTTAATATATATTTTTTTAATTTAGAGAGAGAGCAAGAGGGTGGGGGAGAAGGGCAGAGAGAGAGAGAGGGAGAGAATCCAAAGTAGGCTCCATGCTCAGCTCTGAGCTTGATGTAGGGCTCAATCCCATGACCGTGGGATCATGACCCAAGCCAGAATCAAGAGTTGAACACTCAACCAACTGAGCCACCCAGGCACCCCAGTTTGTCCATTCTTTCATTATTTGTCCAGCAAACTTTATTGAGCACCTACAATGTACCAAGCACGGCACTTAGTGCTGGGGATTCAAGCATAAAGGAGACCCAAATACTGCCTCGAGGAGCCTCCAGCCCCAACTCCATGGTGGGTTCTGCGTGTGTGATTTTAAGCTAATTTTCCCAGCTGGACTGTGCATTTTGAACATCAGAATCAGAGACAAGTGATTTCAACTCATCAATAACTAATTTTCACTAAAAATGCTGTGTCTAGATATAAGAAAGATATTCCTGTGACCTACTTCAAAGACTTCGTTTAAAAATACACGGGGGGCAGAGGGAGCCTGGGTGGCTGTCGGTTGAACGTCTGACTTTGGCTCAGGTCATGATCTCATAGTCTGTGAGTTTGAGCCCCATGTCGGGCTCTGTGCTGACAGCTTGGAGCCTGGTACCTGCCTGGGATTCTGTCTCCTTCCCTCTCTGCCTCTCCCCCACTTGTGCTCTTGATTCTCTCTGTCTCTCAAAAATAAATAAATGTAAAGAAATTTTTTTTTAATGTTTTATTTATTTCTAGGAGAGAGAGAGAGACAGCGTGAGCAGGGGAGGGTCAGAGAGAGAGGGAGTCACAGACTGAAACAGGCTCCAGGTTCTGAGCTGGCAGTCAGCACAGAGCCCGATGCGGGGCCCGAACCCACGAACCGTGAGATCATGACCTAAGCGAAAGTCGGACGCTTAACCGACTAAGCCACCCGCGCGCCCCAATGTAAAGAAATTTTTAATAAAAAAAAATTTTTTTTAAATAAGAATTAAAAGTAAACACTTGGAAAACAAAAGTAAAATAGTGCTCTTTTTAATTCTAAAGTGAGGTGATGTTACTGGGCACCCATATATCCGGGATATCTACAACAGCAGATCAGAAAAGTTGAGGTTAAAGGGATACTTGCTGGGCCCCCTTTGGTTCAATGATCTTAAATCATAATCCCTCGTCTCCGTATTTGAAAGGCTTATAAGGCCATCACCCCCAAGAGGCCGAGGAGGCACGTCCAGCTGTAATGGTGTCACACAGACACAGTACAATCAGATAGACGTGTTTTTTCAGAGGGGAAGAAATGCCCTACAAATAACGAGATCAACTAGACCCTACACATGGAGGCAAAAGTCCAGTGTTGGCCTGGGCAGCTTAGTCGGTTGAGCATCCGATTTTGGTTCAGGTCATGATCTCACGGTTGGTGAGTTTGAGCCCTACATGGGGCTCACTGCAGTTAGTGCAGAGCACGTTTGGATCCTCTGTCTCCCTCTCTCAGCCCCTCTCCTGCTTGTGTGCTCTCTCTCTCTCTCAAAAATAAATGTTTAAAAAAATTAGTCCATGGGGCGCCTGGGTGGCTCACTTGGTTAAGTATCCAACTTCGGCTGAGGTCATGATCTCACTGTTCATAGGTTCAAGCTCCATGTTAGGCTCTGTGCTGACAGCTGAGAGCCTGGAGCCTCCCTTTGGATTCTGTATCTCCCTCTCTCTCTGACCCTCCCCTGCTCACTCTGTATCTGTCTCACAAATAAATAAAAACATTTTTTAAAAAAAGATTAAAAAAGAAGTCCAGTGTTGGAATGACCCCTCTGCTATTGACTGCGTACTCTGACCAGTCACCTCACCTCTTTGGGCCCCAGTTTCCTCACGTGTGAAATGAGGCCGTTGTGCCCGGTGACCTCGGAAGGCCCTTCTGATTCTGATGTTTTCTTATCCTGTGATAAAGGTGACACTGGGTAGCATGTTTTGACATTTTAATTCATTGATTAGCTATGTCATCAATGGCCAGAGTTGCTTCAGTGCTCTGATTAGAATCATTGTGGTGAGGCTTCTGGGTTAATAGTTTACTGAAATCAATGAGCTGTTTCACACCTCTGCTCATGTTCTCCTTTCCACCTCTCAACAGGAAAACAAACAGCAAACAGCAATGAATTAATTCATAAGCAAAGATTATAAAGAAGTACATACACGCTACCATTTGTCATTAATTGTGAATATCCTAAATCGTAAAGTTACAATAGCTAATTTTATTATATTTCTTGAACACATATTATGTGCCAAGCATTGTTAAAGGCTTTTTATGTACATTATCAGTAACTTAATTAATTCTATTTCCATCTATTTTTAAGGATTTTATTATTTTTAAAAATGTTTATTGATTTAATTTGAGAGAGAGAAAATGAGAGAGAGCTCACACCTGCAAGCATGGTGGGGGCAGAGAGAGAGGGAGAGAGAATCCAAAGGGAGGCTCCAGGCTTTCAGCACAAAGCCGGTGCAGGGCTTGATCTTGGGAACTGTAAGATCATGACCTGAGCAGAAATGAAGAGTTGGATGCTTAACTGACTGAACCATCCATTCCCCCCTCTTCTGTTTGCATCTGTTAACCTACAACTGACTTCTCAAAATTTGGAAGTTTATAAAGTTTATTGCGAACATTTTGTCTGGCAGGCATAACTGTTGGAGTGTGGGAAACTATTTCAAACAAAAGCATCCTCCATTTTTCTGATCTTTGGTTCAAGGCCTCTCTAGAAATGCATGTGTTTGATCATGTTCATGAGAAAGGGTAGGGATTTTGCCTCCAAGATGCTCTTCTCTTTTGGAGAGAGAAGGAAACTCTTGGGAATTTATGGGAGGATGGGAGACATTCCCATCTCCAGTGAGATCAGAAAAAAATGTCAGGGCGCCTGGGTGGCTCAGTTGGTTAAGCGTCCAACTTCAGCTCAGGTCATAATCTCGTTGTCCATGAGTTCAAGCCCCGTGTCAGGCTCTGCGCTGATATGTCAGGCTCTGCGCTGACAGCTCAGAGCCTGGAGCCTGCTTTGGATTCTGTGTCTCCCACTCTCTCTGCCTGTCTCGCACTCATTCTGTCTCTCTGTCTCTGTCTCTGCTCTGTCTCTCTAAAATAAATAAACATTAAAAAATTTAATGTTTTTTTTAACGTTTATTTATTTTTTCAGAGACAGAGAGACAGAGTATGAGCAGGGGAGGGGCAGAGAGAGAAGGAGACACAAATTCTGAAGCAGGCTCCAGGCTCGGAGCTGTCAGCACAGAGCCTGACGCGGGGCTCAAACTCACAAACCGCGAGATCAAGACCTGAGCCGAAGTCAGCCACTTAACCGACTGAGCCACCCAGGCGCCCCTAAAAAAAAAAAAATTTAAAAAGAAAAAAATATGTCAATAAGGCTCAAGGCAAATGTTCCTGGCAATGAGGGTTATATTTGATAAGTTACTATGATATTTGAATCACATGTTCTGGAAACAGTCATAGAATAAATTTTCACATAACTGAGACAATTCAGGTGTGCTTCTTTCTGTCTGGACCTGCCAAAAGCCACACGAGCACTGAAATGTCACGGGATTGCTGATTTCCACGTGCTTGTGCAGTGCTCCCAAGCAGTTATGAAACATTAAGTAGCAGAAGGGATGTGGTTCGTATTATGATGATTAAAATTCTACGTGTTTCCCCAAAATGTACAAATATAAAATATGCTGGGTTCTCCTCCTATGCCTGCATATGGAAAATGAATAAAAACTGTTTACTTTGGCTACAACACATGTCATTTTCTTGCTGAGTGGATTTTGATATTCTTCAGCCAAACCAAACTTGCAGCTTCTCAAGATACCAGGACCTGTATTTATTACAATAATGACTTTCTTGCTCCCAGCCTCCCTTCTCTCTTTCTTTTTTTAATGACTCCATTGTTAAATAAGAAATGGATAATGTCAGGGGC